TGATAATTTACTATATAGACATGCCAGCTGCCGTTACAACATGTACAGTAGAATTTACAAATAATCATCAGAATGAGAGCTCTGCTTATATTAATTATTTCAATATTTGCATAGATAATGTTGAGCGAAAATGATCCTTTAAAGCCCAAAATATATTAAGTTATAATTAATATTTATAAAAATAAAATGAAATTTATAAATGCGTCCTGCATGCATTTCAACATTATTTTAATATTGAAAGGGGTATATTTCACCAAATTTCTCTTATGCATTACGCTAATGTACTTATTTTCATTTCTTTTTTGGAAAAGTGTAGATGGTGGGTAAAAGAGTAATAATTTATTATCATAATAACTAATGATAGGAATCTTAAAAGTAATACTAAAACGTTGGGGAATGTTTTGATTCACATATAAAAACATTTTTTTCTTCAAATTTCTGCTTCGTTTCAAAGGTGTAGAATTTGAAATTGTTTTGGGTAATCAATACCGCTCTTGTTGAGACTTCAGCATTTCATAGACTGTCTAGTTGTAGATTGCAAAGTTCTACATCGATGAATCTACTAATTGGCACTTGATTGAAATGCAAAATTTCAAAAGACCCACAAAATGCACAGCTCAGCCTTCTTTCCAAGCTTATCTTGATCAGAAATTAATAGGAAAAATTAGCTTTAGGTTGTGTGATTAACCAATTAGATTAATTTTATTCATATGGTTGATGTTATTTCCTATTGATTTAATTCATATTGATGTTTAATTTCCTTTGTAAATATATTTTGGATTTCATTAAGAAAAATGGTCTTTGATGTAACGATCTCAAGGAAATATTGGACATATTATATGGTTGTAAACAATATATAGGTGTATGCGTGTATATGTGTGTATATATGTATATATTTTAAATTTAATGATGTAACTGTAAATAAAATTCAAAGAATATCTCTATATGTAAATAATATTTATGAATCTTTCTAAGTTACTTTCTGTGTATCTTTCCATGTTGAATATTTTCTTTGTTATATTTGTATGTACATTTAGCGCAAGTGTCCCTAGGGAGACATAGCGTTTTGAATTGAAATAAATAAATAAATAAATGTTATATTAATTAATAATTAATATAATTTTTAAAGGGTTTTCTTTATTGGTCATAAGAAAAGTAGTGAAGTTGTGTATGTGTTTACATGGTTTTTTTAGATGCCTTAGCTAGTTGATAATATATATTTATGAATGAGACAAAATACTTACCCATTAGTCCTAAGGAGATAGCGCAATGTGCTTCCAAACCTGTCATCCTATTAATTGATTCATATTATTTATAATTCTTCGTAGAGAGAGTAGAGTGAAAGGTGGATTTAAAATTATCGTGCTTATAATGAAAATAGCTCTCTCCATTTAAAAAAAATGTCTATGAGCTCCTTTTTATGATTAGTAATTATTTTTACCAAAAATCCCATCACTCTACTTATTGTCAAAATATAATGTATTGTTATATCTACAATTTCTCTGGGAAGGCATTCATTTTTCTGCATGTTTTATTTTGATAATTTTTGAAATAGGTTATTTTAAAATATCTCCTTCATTTAAAAATGTGAATATAAAATGATATTTAAAAAAACATTCTACAGAAAGATGACAAAATATAAACAGATCTCTATTAAAAATTACAAAAAAAGTGTATAATACAAAATATAAATAAGTTTTTAATAGAATATAAATTTGGTAATAAAATAACACACAGTCTATTATATAAATTGAAGGAAGGTAAACCAGAATATAAATGCATCTTTAATTAATAAATACATCTATCACAAAGATAAAGAAATGTTTACGAAAACACTGATCATCATTGAAATACAGCGCCATGAGGCGGAAATTAACCTGAGAGAGAGAGATAGAAATAAATTCTAGTTATTACCACATGCTTCACCAATATACTGAGCGACAATATGCTGATAGGTCTTAGAACCTCTATGAACCCAGCAGATATATACATTCATGCACAAAAATAAAGGAAATAGAGAATCTGCCACCAGTCATCAATTTTTTTAAGGAAACAGAGCCAATTTTTTGTTCACATTTGGTTATTTCGTGTGTCTTCAATAAAGGTCACTGTATATCAAATATCTTTCAGATTTATTGTCGGAATCCCGACTAGGTACAACTTCCTCAAGTTTTGTCCATGAGTGTATCTTTCAGAGTTATTGTCTGAATCCCGATATACATGGTAAAAGGTACAACTTCCTTAAGTTTTGTCTATGAGTGTATCTTTCCGTTATTGTCTGAATCCCGATATACATGCTAAAAGGTACAACTTCCTTAAGTTATGTCCATGAGTGTAATATTGTCTGAATCCCGATATACCTGCTAAAAAGGTACAACTTCCTTAAGTTTTGTCCATGAGTGTAATATTGTCTGAATCCCGATATACATACTAAAAGGTACAACTTTCTTAAGTTTTGTCCATGAGTGTAATATTGTCTGAATCCCGATAGACATGCTAAAAGGTACAACTTCCTTAAGTTTTGTCTATGAGTGTAATATTGTCTGAATCCCGATATACATGCTAAAAGGTACAACTACCTTAAAGGTTGTCCATGAGTGTAAAATTGTCTGAATCCCGATATACATGCTAAAAGGTACAACTTCCATATGTTTTGTCCATGAGTGTAATATTGTCTGAATCCCGATATATATGCTAAAAGGTACAACTTCCTTAAGTTATGTCCATGGGTGTAATATTGTCTGAATCCAGATATAAATGCTAAAAGGTACAACTTACTTAAGTTTGGGAGCAAAGTCTGACTGTCATGTGGGGGATAACCAATCAACGACAGCAGCTTTTTTTTACCCAACATAGAGACTTATGGACTAAATATTGATATGGAATTCCTTAAGTTTTGTCCATGAGTGTATATGGGTTAAAATGCTCAATTAATTGTATTTTATAATCTTTTTTTTTCAGAAAAATTAATTATTTTATTCCAGAGTTTGATTCTCACAAATTGAGAAAGTCAATATGTTGTTGGACCCCCACTGGCTTGGATTTAAGAAAAATTTTTGTTTCAGACCTTTGACCCAAGGCCCTTTGAGACTTCTTCTCTGTCGTCAAGCTTCCAAGATAAACAAAATATAAAATACATTTTTAATATTTGAAGATATAATATTTGAAGATATAATATTTGAAGATGTAGTAGGTTGATGAGAAGGTTAGGAAGATATGGGTGGGATGAATTGCAATAAGAAATCACGACCAAGACGCATATAGCCATCGGGACGGCTCAGCTTAGCTTTTTGGGCAACGACTTCAAAACCTAGGTGAGGTTTGTTGGGAATCTTTTATGGTTCAGACGATGAAACAACAAATAACAAGTTTACACCAATACCTCGCTTTGCGTCGTTTCGTTTTGCGTTTTTTTTCGAAGTTGCGTCGCTGCTTAATTTTTACTGATTTTCACTGTGCGTCGTTAGATTTTCGAAGTTGCGTTGTTTTGGATTCGAGTCTTTAATTCTTTTTTATTTTTATTTTTTCCTAAAATATGGCAACACCTTTGTTTTTGATTGCGCCTTCACATATTTTCACTTTGCGTCGTGTTTTTTTGGAACGTAACCCCGACGCAAAGCGAGGTATGAATGTACTTACAGCTGTAATGGTTTTGAAGAATTGACGATTTTACCTTTTATGAAAGTATTTTAAATTTATTATTTACAAAGAGAGAGAGAGAGAGAGAGAGAGAGAAAAAAAAAACAATTAACAATTACACTTATTAATTATGCAAACAAAACCAACACTCTTTTGTTCTCGGTTTTATATTACAGTGTTGTCAGACTAAAAGTATTTTAAGATCATTGATTTATCATTCTTCTTTTTTTTTTCCAACAAGGTTGAAATGGTCTTTAATGAGTTTGTTGCTTCCATAACTACACAATATTTCGTTAACTTATCCAAAAAACTTGTTTCTCATTGCACAATGTGCAAACCCATGTTTTTATTAATCTTTTTTTCCCCTTCTTTTGTTGAGGTGAGAAATATTGGTTTTGAAAGTGGTCATTAAAATCAGTCATTACTTTTGCACCAACCCAAGGTCGTATCAAAAAAGTTATTTGAAAATTAGACAGAGATTTCCTATGGAGAAATCAATATCTCATGTACATATTTTAGTTAACATATCGGACGTAATATCCCAACTTGGGATACTTGCGCATAAATACATTTTAGCAACTTATATATAATTCATTTTATATACAATTCAATAAACAAGACTAAAAACAAAATTAAAACTGAAAGATTGGTTTTTCTCAAATAGAAAAGAAATTTATATAATAAAAAGGCATATATTGGATTGAATAAAATATTTATTTGCCAATATTTCGGTTGGCTGAACTCCAACTTTTATCAAGACATTACATTTTTGTATAAACAAACTCAGCGCCGCATAGTGTTATAATATCACAGTTGAAATCATTTTTTTTGTGGATATTATAACACTATGCGGGGCTGAGTTTGTTTATACAAAAATGTAATGCCTTGATAAAGGTTTGGCGTTCAGCCAACCGAAATATTGGCAAATAAATCTTTTATTCAATCACATATATGCCTTTTTATTATCTAATGATTTAAGTATGGATTTCTCTATTTTCAGAAAGAAAAGAAAATCTAAAATGGATTTACAAAAATTATTGAATTTTAAGTAGGAGTCTTTGTTATATACAAATTCGCACATTTCTTTGTTGGGATAAAAATGATTACTTCTGTTGCTGTGAAAGATTGGACATTCTATTAGTAAATGTATTGAGTTTTGGTTTTATTTTACACAGAAGCATCTAGGATCATCCGTTGCCCCAATTTTCTCCAGATCTTCTCCAAATTTACCATGATTTGTGATGAACTGTAAGTTATAAAAATTTAGACGAAAATAAAAAGGAATTCAAAATGGGGAAATCAATACGAATGTGGAATTTTTAACGATAATATAATAACAGCTTTTTTCAAATATTCTACTGGGGTCGATGGCTGAGTGGTCTAAACCGTTGGTTTACAACCGCTACGACCTGGGTTCGAATCCCGCATTAGGTACTTTTTTTTCTAATTAAAATAATTGCTCCAATGGCCCTCGATTCTTGCAAAATTCCAAATGATTTTCATATGTGTAGGCATGTGGTGCACTTACAAGTAAAAGCATTCGCTAACTACCCACCATGATTATCATGGCCTGGACCACGTGTGCTTGTAATAAATAAATAAAATTCTGCTATTAGAGTGAAGGATAAAGAATATTTGAATGTAAAGATATAGATTGGTATTGTGGTTAGTTGAAAAGGAAATCTTGAAAAATTCTTATAATAAAATTGGAACACTATACGATTTTTCGTGGCCATGCTAATTTTCTCTGTATCCTTCCTATTATAGTAGTTGTACCGCCGAACTGGTATCACAGGGGCCATGATAATCTTCTCTGTATCCTTCCTATTATAGTAGTTGTACCGCCGAACTGGTATCACAGGGGCCATGCTAATCTTCTCTGTATCCTTACTATTGTAGTTTATGTACCGCCGAACTGGTATCACAGGGGCCATGCTAATCATCCCTGTATCGTTCCTATTGTGGTAGTTTTACCGCCGAACTGGTATCACAGGGGCCATGCTGATATTATCCGCATCCTTCCTATTATAGTAGTTGTACTGCCGAACTGGTATCACAGGGGCCATGCTGATATTATCCGCATCCTTCCTATTATAGTAGTTGTACTGCCGAACTGGTATTACCATGCTAATCTTCTGTGTATCCTTCCTATTGTAGTAGCTGTACCACCGAACTGGTATCACAGGGGCCATGCTAATCTTCTCTGTATCCTTACTATTGTAGTTTATGTACCGCCGAACTGGTATCACAGGGGCCATGCTAATCATCCCTGTATCGTTCCTATTGTGGTAGTTTTACCGCCGAACTGGTATCACAGGGGCCATGCTGATATTATCCGCATCCTTCCTATTATAGTAGTTGTACTGCCGAACTGGTATCACAGGGGCCATGCTGATATTATCCGCATCCTTCCTATTATAGTAGTTGTACTGCCGAACTGGTATTACCATGCTAATCTTCTGTGTATCCTTCCTATTGTAGTAGCTGTACCACCGAACTGGTATCACAGGGGCCATGCTAATCTTCTCTGTATCCTTTCTATTGTAGTAGCTGTACCGCCGAACTGGTATCACAGGGGCCATGCTAATCTTCTCCTTCCTAGTGTAGTAGCTGTACCACCGAAATGGTATCACAGGGACCATGCTAATCTTCTCCTTCCTAGTGTAGTAGTTGTAATGCCGAACTGGTATCACAGGGGCCATGCTAATCTTCTCTGTATCCTTCCTATTGTAGTAGTTGTACCGCCAAACTGGTATTACAGGGGCCATGCTAATCTTCTCCTTCCTAGTGTAGTAGCTGTACCGCCGAACTGGTATCACAGGGACCATGCTAATCTTCTCTGTATCCTTCCTATTGTAGTAGTTGTACCGCCAAACTGGTATCACAGGGACCATGCTAATCTTCTCCTTCCTAGTGTAGTAGCTGTACCGCCGAACTGGTATCACAGGGGCCATGCTAATCTTCTCCGTACCCTTCCTATTGTAGTAGCTGTACCGCCGAACTGGTATCACAGGGGCCATGCTAATCTTCTGTGTATCGTTCCTATTGTGGTAGTTTTACCGCCGAACTGGTATCAGAGGGGCCATGCTAATCTTATCTGTATCCTTACTATTGTAGTATTTGTACCACCGAACTGGTATCACAGAAGCCATGCTAATCTTCTCTGTATCCTTCCTTTTGTAGTAGTTGTACCGCCGAACTGGTATCACAGGGGCCATGCTAATCTTCTCTGTATACTTCCTTTTGTAGTAGTTGTACCGCCGAACTGGTATCACAGGGGCCATGCTCTCTGTATCCTTCCTATTATAGTAGTTGTACCGCCGAACTGGTATCACAGGGGCCATGCTCTCTGTATCCTTTCTATTATAGTAGTTGTACCGCCGAACTGGTATCACAGGGGCCATGCTCTCTGTATCCTTCCTATTATAGTAGTTGTACCGCCGAGAAAAATTCTTAAATTATTAATAGTCCATCAGAATATATCATCAAACCATTTCATTTAAGAATTCAGCAAAGTCTTTCAAATTTGAATCGAAAGATGATAGAGATGCTTTAAAATACCATTTTAAAACTCTTTTTTAAAATCAAAACGATTCTGAGAAAGAAAAAGAATGAAAAGAAAAAAATCTTTAAAAATTTTCCAGAAAAATTACCAAAAATATGCCAGAATCAATATACATATTTTTACAAAAGATATATTTTCTAACTCTTTTATTTTTAAAAGAGATACAAAATATACCTTCTATAAGAATGGGTATAATGTTTGTGGCATATTTTTAGAATTTTTTACATGAAAAATTCTACATAAACAATTTCTTCACTATTTTTCTTAATCAAGATTTATTTATTTATTTCAACACACAAAACGCGATATCCCGACTAGGGATAATTGCGTCGATTTACGTTTTTTTAAAACAGAAACAGTTATAAACATATTATACAAGAAAAGGTAATAAAAAAGAGAAACAATAATATATATTAGGAACCTGAACCTTTCAGGTTGGAAAGATAATCATAAATATATCCACAAAAGTAGTTAAACCTGTGATAATTTTCTCTGCTATTTATAAATTGATATAAATCTACAACATTATTTATTGTCTGTTGTCTAGCGGTAAAGAAGAGTGGACATTCCAGCAGTAGATGTCTCGAGTCCTGGATTTCCTTGTCACAGTGACAGCTAGAGTCCCCAACCGCTCCAATCTTACTCAAGATCGTTTGAATAAAAAAAAAAAAGTTTGAAAAATGGAATTTTAAAGCACCTCTATCATTTATTTATTAAAACAAGGTATGTCCCATAAGTTCCTGGACTGGTCCATAAAAAAAAGGGTAAGATACACCAATACCTCGCTTTGCGTCGTTTCGTTTTGCGTTTTTTTCGAAGTTGCGTCGCTGCTTAATTTTTACTGATTTTCACTGTGCGTCGTTAGATTTTCGAAGTTGCGTTGTTTTGGATTCCAGTCTTTGTTTTTTTTTTTTTGAATTTTTTCCTAAAATATGGCAACACCTTTGTTTTTGATTGCGCCTTCACATATTTTCACTTTGCGTCGTTTCAATTTGCATCGTGTTTTTTTGGAACATAACCCCGACGCAAAGCGAGGTATGGGTGTATATATATTTTTAAATTATTAAAACTTTTAAAAGTAATCATCCCTTGCTTCAACGAATCAGCGCCATCGTTTCTCCCAATTGCCGAAACAGATTTTATAGGCCTTTTTTTGAATGCTCTTCAATGCCAACAGCGATTTTTCTATTATGTCATCCCTGGTGTCAAAATGTCTTCCTTTTAGAACTGCGTTAAGTTTGGGGAACAGGAAAAAGTCATTTGGTGCGATGTCTGGGGAATAGGGTGGTTGAGGTAGGATTTGTGTCCTGTTTTTCGCCAAAATACTCGTCACCAAGTGCGCTGTGTGAGGGCGGGCATTGTCATAGTGTAGGATCCAGTCACCATTAGTCAATTTTTCTGGCCTTTTTTTTCGAATCGCTTCCCTTAGACGGCGAAGAATGCCCAAATACATTTCCTTAATAACTGTTTGGCCTGCAGGAAGATACTCGTGATGAAAAATGCCCTTGTTATCCGAAAAATCGACCAGCAACACCTTGTTTCTGGATTTCAATATCCTGGATTTTTTGGGTCTAGGCTCACCCTGACCTCTCCACTCGGCAGATTGACGCTTGGTTTCAGGGTCATAGCCATAGACCCATGTCACGTCGGCTGTGATTATCTTGTCTTTCCATTCCGGATCCATTCTTGTCATTTCCAACATGTCCTCACAGGTTGCAAGCCGACACAGTTTTTGCTCATTAGTGAGGAATCTTGGGATGAATTTTGCAGGAGTCTTTTTGAGCTTCAAATCTTTGGTTACGATCCTTCCAATCGTTGTTTTAGAGATGCCTGTGTCGTGCTCTAGCTCCAGCAACGTGGTTCGAGGATTTTATTTTATCAAATCGGTGATTTTTTGCACATTTTCATCAGTCCTTTGAAATTTTGGGCGTCCTTGACGAAGATCATCTTCAATGGAAATTCTGCCAGCTTTAAATCTAGAATGCCATTCAAAAACAGTTGTTCTCTTTGGGGGCGTCATTGGGGAATGCTTTATTAAAGTTTAAAAAGTTTCGGTTGCTGATATTTGAAGTTTCACAAAAAATTCGATGCAAATCCTCTGCTTCAATTTTTGTTCCATCGTAAAATCGCCGCAGCGCTAGGTGTAACCTTTAAATAAATTAGAATGACCTTGTCGCGCGCGCAAGTACCGCCTCGATATTGGTACCGCCGTGTTTCCAGATATTTTTTCTATAATAAACAGTCAAATTTATTTACATTTTCAATTTACTTATTTTTTTATGGACCCAGTCCGGGAACTTATGGGACATATCTTGTATTTCAAAACTTTCGCTAATTTCTCAATAATATTACACCAGGAAAATTTGAGGAAAACTGGGATATGTTCCAAAACGGTTGATATTTATTAATTGGTAATGGCGGTCTCCAGACATGGTTGACTGATTTACGGTAGTTTGAACTAATGGACCTGTTTTTTTTACTGGTGTAAAACCTGCTGCTCACAAATTGTTCAACCATTGTACCTTGTCGTTAGTGAACGCAGAAACTCAATTAAAGCTCACAAATATCGACAATAGTAAATACAAAGATAGAGGCTGCCTGGCCGGCATTCATAGCTCTTAAAATTAAAGATACTTCGCCCAGTAAATCTTTTTATTATCTCGACGTTTCGACACAAATCTTTTGTCTTCGTCGTTTTGTTTGCTCCTGACGAAGACAAAAGATTTTTGTCGAAACGTCGAGGTAATAAAAAGATTTACTGGCCGAAGTGTCTTTATTTTCAAGAGAGTAAATACAAAGTTGTCCCAAAAGTTCGTAAAAACTTGCAAAAAAATTGGAATATACCAATATTATTAGCCGTTATGTATAATG